CGTGCGGGCCGTTGTCCTTTGGGTTGCAGCCTCTCGCCTTCAGCCAGGAACTCAGCGATGCCCCCAGACACGGCAGCCAGCCCCCCAACCAGCCTCCTGCAGGCATTCGGCCCGATGCCAAAGCTGTAGCACCTGCAGGGGCACAGGGAGCATCAGGATCCAGGGGAGAAGCCATCTCAAGCCCCCACAGCTCGCTCACCCCCTGCCCCGGCTCTGTTCTCCTGCTGCTGTGCGTGCACGAAGGAAAATAAACCAGCTCTTCTTTTAGGTGACGGGCAGGAGAGTCAGGAATGGGCATCCCCCTCCTGTCATCAGACCTCAAATCCCTTCCCCAAAGAGCAGCCTTCAGCAGCGAGGCTCAGGGAACTCCCAGCGGGACCCCAAGCCTTTGCCTCCTCGGCAAACACCAACAAGCTATTTTGCTGCCGCTTCAGCTCGTTTCCCTGCTGAGTGTCCATGGTCAATAGCACTAAAGACCCAGTAATTATCTCGGCTCACAATTAAAAGAAACGTTTTCTCAAGGAAGGAGGAACAAGCCAGGCAAGGCTGCTCCCCTGGCTCCCAGCTCAATGAGATGGGATGGAAGAGGAATAAGGGTTTCTTATATTTTTCTTCTGCCCCCTTAAAGAGCCAGAGAAGAAACCAGACCAGGCTGTCACCAGGGCTGGGGGAACCAGGCTGGGAGCTCGATACACAAATTAGCTGCTTTTTACATTGGTCTCTTTCAGCACATTCAATTCTGCACAGCCTCATCCTGGAAGCAGCTGGGGCCAGGCCCAGATGTGCTTTAAAAAAATAAAAAAAAAACCCAAAACCCGTCAAGGAAGATTGTTCGTGTGTCAATCTCTCCCTTACAGGAAGCATCAGACGAGAGCCTGTGAAGTTGTCAGCCCAATTATCCTGCCTTTGATTGTTTCAAAAGCATCTGAACTTCTGGGATCCGTTCCAAACCCTTTGAGGTTCTCCCGTGGCTCATACCAGCGATCTCTGCTGCCTCCATCTCCGAAGTGGAGATGCCTGCGAGCCGGAGGAGCGCGTCCCGTGCCGGGCTCTCGCCCTCCGTACCTGGTGCAGCAGGAGTGGCTTCGCAGCAGCTCCAGGACCTTCCCCGTGTTGCTTATTCAGCAGGAAGAGCAGGCGGGGATGGCCCCTGTGGATGGGCTGCCGGGTGACCCACTTCAAAGGCGACAAGACGTTAGTGCCACCCATATCGGCCCGGATCCTCTCAACGCTCTCGCAGGCGACGGCCAGGCTCTCCTGCCCAAAAGAGGAGCGGAATCGTCAGCCACCGTCACCCCCCAGAGCACCGAGGACCCACGGGTCCCCCTCGGCCCCACCTCGCAGTAGGTCTGGCTGGCAGGAAAGAGGGTCTTGAAGGTGGATCCGAACCCAACGATGTTGAAGAGACACGCCGGCATCAGGCTCTTGAGAACGACCAACAGGGCTTCCTGGGGGGTGGAAAGCGAGCGGGCATCAGGCACGCCGGGTGTCTCCCTGGCTGCCCCAGCTTCACCAGGAAAAGCTCTGCCCAGCCCCTGCCTCGCCACTGCGCCTCAGTCCCAACTTGCATTTGGCCACGTGCATTTAATAGTAAAACAACTGCTCCTTTCACCCCGGGAAAGCACCGCGTGTCACTCTGCTTCTTCCCAAACCCCTCAGTGATAAATGATATTTGGGTCCCAAAGCAGTGAGGAGGAAAACGAGGAGCCTTCAAAAGAACTGAACAAATTATTTTTTTTGTTTGTCTTTAACTGGTTAAATTTGTGCTTGCAATAGGGTACTTGCAGCACGGAGCTAGTGGGTGAGAGGCAGGGTGTGAAATTGAGAAGTGCGACATGCAAAGCATTTCAATGTCCAAACTTGCAGAAAATAAACAAACAGCTTAAAGTTACACAAAAGGAAGAGCCTCCCCCATCCCGAATTCTCTTGTATTCATAGCTGGCACCAATTAAAATAACTGGGAGAGACAGTTTTAAGCTATTTTCTTTCCCAGAGGTGGTTATCTAACTTGCCTATTCCTGGTCTTTACATAAGGGAAGAGCGATTTAAATTGTCTCAGGCATCTGTGTTGGCCGTGGACGACTCCAGGACAGAGCTGGTGTTAGCAGCAACCGGGCAAGAGCTGCCCGAGGAGCTCCTGAGCTACCGGGTCAGGAGAGGGTGGCCAGCTCAAAGCGAAGTGCTGGCAGCATTGAGGAGCTTTGTGCTTTCTGGTTATGTGCTGATAAAGGCAGACTCCTGCCGGTCTGCCGAGGGCAGCAGAAACCCCGGCGAGAAGAGCTGCCAAGGTCAAACGAGCAAGAGCAGCCACCTCGCAGAAGGTGGGTGCCGGGGCTGCAGGCAGAGCCCCCCTGCTCCCGCTTAGGAATTGTCATAGGGAGAAGGGGTCGGTCCAGTTCCCGACCCTTCGGCAGCACCGCGAACCCGTGAAATAATGTGCGAGAACAGGGGCTGCCCTTTAACAGGCTCCAGGGTACTTCAAACTAAGCTGTTATCTCAAGCCTACGAGAATGTATTTATACTGCTGCTTCCCAGATGGCTCCTGAGCTGCCGGCTCTTCCAATTCTCAACGCTTGACATCCCATCTCGGAACTAATTACAAGGGGGAAAAAAAAAAAAAAACAACCCAAATTTCCAAACATTTCTGTTAAAGAGCTTCCCAAAGTGGGCAACCGTTGCCTGCTTTCTGTCTCAGCAACCGGAAAGATTTATTGCTTCTTGTGGTAAATATTGATCTCGATCCCGTTGCACTCAATGTCTATGCGGCAACTCAATAAAGAGAGATGTTTGCCTCCAGAGAAGTCAATTCCCGGCTATTAGCATCGTTTTGCCGGCAAGCCCACCCGATGCAGGCACCGTCATGAGCCTGGCTCTTCTCCCTGGCTGCATCAGGATGGGAACGGAACCAGCTGCAGGAGATTTAACCCCCTGAACTTTCCACCCAAAACCACTTTGGCCGAGTGCCCTCCTGGTCGGCAGCAAATCGCATCCTCCCAGCTCGCCAGCAGCCAGACCTCCTGCTCCGTTTGCACCCTCGCTCTGCAGCTCAGCTCAAAAGAATCATGGAATGGTTTGGGTCAGAAGAGACCTTAAAGATCATCTCTTTTCAACTCCCCCGTCGTGGGCAAGGACGTCTCCCACCAGACCAGGCTGCTCAAAGTCTCATCCAATCCAGCCTTGAACACTTCCAGGTATCCACAACTTCCCTGGGCCATGAAGTACCTTCCTCCTTTGAGGTATCTCCCCTGAAATCTCCCATATTTCCCCCAAAAATATTTTTTTTCCAGAAAGGGAACATCGTTTTTCCCTGGTTTTACAGCCTTCCTGTGGATGGGAGTCCCAGCTCAGGACATTTTGGAGAAGGGCTCTGTCCCTACGAGGTCCACATGGGACAAACAAACCATCCCCACGGAGGCTGCAGAGACTTTAGTGCCCAAATCCAGCCATGGTGTAAGTCTGAAAGCAAAAATCCGCCCGGGAGCAGAGATGCCTCCCGACCAGGCTCTGAACGTGCTGAGGGAACAGGTACAACCTCAGAGGTTTCCTGACCCCTTTGGTGGATGCAGGGAGAGGGGACGGCTTCCCTACCCTGGGGCACCTGTCGAAGCCATCCTCATGTCCCTCAGCATCCCCATCCTCGCTGTGTCCATGCTCCGGCAGTTCCCATGGAAACCGGAGACAGATGGGTAAGGAGATGGGCTACAAGATGCTCCCGGCT